CCTTTAATTAAGATATTCCTAAATTACTGAGGAACTAAAAAATGACCCTTTATAGGGTGATAGCCCTGAATCTAAACACTAGATATCCTTATGTATGATTTCATAAAGTAGAGGAAACCCTTGACGCGTGTGCGAAGTAGTCCTCTTGAAGGCGATGGACATGCTATCACTTGGCATTCTTACTGCACCTCATCTGTCTCCCCGGGCACTGTTTTCATGCTACTAGTAGTGTCTCTCTTTTTTATAACTTATAATCCTCTCATTTCCTCTTCCTTATCACCATTTCTTGTAGAACCATTGGTCACATGCTAGTCGAAATTTCAGTACATTAATTATCAAATTGTGTAACCTATCCTTGGGGAAGAAAGCCTCTCGCGATGCTTGATGGGAAGATGCTCTCATTCTTCTGACTTGGGCTGTTTGTTTTCCATGGCATACTGTGAAAGCAGGGCATGGGGGCAAGGCAGGATGGCAAACGTTCCGTCTCTTGGGGCAAAACCATGTTATGGCATGTTTGCTGCCTACATGTGAGGGTGGCAAGAACACCAGGGTCCTGAAGAACCAGAGACATATGTTAGCTGTGACTTTGAGGGTGGAGAGGGGCCTGCGGGGAGCTCCTCAGGGAGCTCTGCTCTGATTCCTCTGCTGCTTCTTCAGAAAGAAAGGAAGGAGCCAGCCATGTGGGAGGTTATGTGTGCCTGTGGGGAAGGGGACAGGGGTCCGTTTGTTGCTCTACCTTTGGATCCTTTAACCCCAGCACCATGCTCCTTATTGTGCAAGAGAGGGATTGAACTGTCTGTAATAAAATGGTCTTAAATTTATCCAGTCTTGTACAAGGATTCCATCCAATTGAAGGTTGTTAAGATTTTACTCCAGAGACATGTAAATTATTCCAACTCATAAAAACAGAGGTGGGAGAGTATTAGGGATATATCTCTCATCTGTTTGTCTGATTTCCCAAGCTCCTAAGTCCTAGATTTAGAGAATTTCCTCTAAACTTTTCTCATCGTGTCTTTTCATCGTGTCTTTTCCCTTTTCTCTCCAAACCCTGTTTGTCTCTTTATGACTTTGCTTAATCCTTCCTCACAAGTTCTTGGGTCCTCATGCTTGAGCCCCCTACCTACCTAGGCGGCTGGATTTGGTGGTAGGAGAGAAGTAACAAGAGGCCATTTCACAGACTGACGTCAGAGTTCATTATATCTAAAAGCCATGAGACCATTAACCTTATAGTGACGTGCTTGCTCCTAGGGGCCTGTTTCCCATAGGAGTGTCTGAGCAGCACAGCTTTGCCTTATATGACAGGAGTATTCTAGAATGAACATCTTGGAAGGGGGTGGGGGAGTTGAAGTGGGGAGAAAAGCCCAGCTCATCATACTCCATTCTGTATTGGCAGTATTCGTTGCATATTCAAGGGCTAAAAAATAGCACTACACGCGCACACACACACACACAGCCCATTGACACGTTTAAGAGTGTCAAGAGTAAGAATAAATACTTTAAAGAGCACTCTCATGAGAGTAGGGAGACTAGAGTAAAGTTGGCTTATGCTGTTCTCGCCCTACCTCTGTCGCACATTATCAGTGATCCAGGGAAAATAGATTTTTTTCTGTGGCAGGTGGAGGCTGATGGTAAATAAATAGTGGAGAAACAGGTAAGCCCGGTCTTAACTTTACTCCAGCTCCACTTGCTGACACCCAGAGAAGCTGTAGGATGTGGTGGTGTCACCAGGAGCCCGAGTCTCTCCGTGTCTCTTCTGTTAGTGAGGACCTGGCTGGTGAGGGGCACTTGTCTGCGTCACTGAACCTGTCTCTAGGTGTCTTGGTTTGCTTACTGCGCTTTCATTTTCTTCTCTCTTTGTAGCCTTCACTTTTTCTGTCATTCTCTTTTTGATTTCTTCTTGCCCTGTCTCTACTTTTCTGCTTACTCACCCTTCTAGCCACCTAGAAAGACGAATTACATTTCATTAACCTTTCCAAAGCCTAAGGCTGACCACAGGCCTTGTTGCCCATTGAGCCAACTCTGTTAGGATCAACTGAGTGGAAGTCACACGTTAGCTTCTGGGATTGACTTTCTCCAGGCACCCTTTGAAGGTATCTGTACTTGCCTTTTGTTTAGTATCAGAGGAATCCAACTTTGCGAATGATTAAAAAGAAACACTGAAAAATAGAATACAGAAGAAAACTCCCTTAATTCCACCATGGTAATGCATGTATCTTTTCCCCTAATGCTTTATATTTAAGACGTAATCTCCTTTTTTAAGCTGTGGATTTCTCTAAACTTCTAAATGGAATTGGCTGTAAAACAACCAGGTTCTCTCTGTTTCAAAGGAAATTTAAAGTACTTGATAGAACAAGGCCAGTCTTTTTGGTTGCTGGCCAAAGCAAACTGACCCAATTTCTAAAACTGTCATCTGTTTGCTGAGGTGTTTTTTGTTAATGATGGTGTGTGTGTGTGTGTGTGTGTGTGTGTGTGTGTGTGTGTGTTATTAGGAGAGGTATTTTACTTGTAGGCTTCGTACATATTTTAATTCTGTAGTATCTTGAAATGAAGCCACCTGAAGCCCAGGGTCTACTGCCTATGACAGCATGACTAAGAAGAATTCTTTTACTTCTCTCAATCTGGTTTCCTGATTTAAAAAACTACCACTCAGATCCATATCAGTACTAACTGAGAGTATTAATATAGAAGTGCGTTGTGCAGTTTTGAGCACTATACAGCTGTAAGATAGTCTTAACAATATTTTTCTAAAAGATTTACCATCCTGGGTATTAAAAGATTTTCCTTTTTTAAAAAACCCCAAAGGCAGTCTGCAATGATTATCAATATTGTGTTGAAGATTGTACATTAAGAGTCCACATCATCCTAGGCTCTGTGAGAGCAAAGAAAAAAATCGACTGATAGTATTTATTAAGAACTTTCTATGTGATTAATATTTCCCTCAAAGAGTTTTTATTTTGACTTTGTTGTAGAACCGATGTATGTGAAAATAACGTTAAGAATACTTGGGATGGTGGGGGGCCCAGGGGAGGCTCCATAATGACTTTAGTGCTGACTGTATACCCAAGTTCTGAGGGAATGGGGACTGTGTCATGATTGGAACTGGGTGGAATTTCCTTGGGGAAATTATGTTCAAGAATCCTTGTCTGTTTATTATTCTTGTGCCCACCTTTCCTGTGTTGATACCAGTGTGTACATTTTAATGGAATTGTGACATCAGGCATCTGTGCAAGGCATTTGGATAAGTTTCCAGGTAAGGTACTGGGCTGTAGGCTTTAAGTGGATTGAATTACATATATTAAATAGGAAACAGCATGTATAGGGTTCTCCTTTGAAACAGAAATGTATTAGCATCTGCTTCCGGAATTCAAAAAGTAAAAGTTACATGCATAATTTTCTTTCAGTCATTATAAGATTGGTTAGAATTAGATACTGAATTTTCTTGACTTTGAAGCAGCAACCGATTACCCAGGCATACAAGACATCGAGTACATCAGGTACTGACGGGTATTTGGATGTATTTAGGCTACAAAGTCAGAATTCCGGGGTCTCTCCATGCTGTACATCATTCTTAAAATATGTTATTGCTATGACTGAATGTGGTATTTTCTTTGGAATCTATGCGTCTCAAATAGCCAGGGAGTTATCTGCAATTTCCTCTCCCTATCTTCTGATTTGTACAAGGAATTTAATAATACTGTGTTCACAAAATAATAATGTGCGTGGAGTAGGAGTTTATCTTTTGAAAATATAAATTACAAAGCCATTTTCTTAATGGTGAAAGATGTTAATGTGGGGAATATAGCCTCGGACTTCTCTGTGTTCTCGATTCGGCACACGTGCCAGGACCTCTGGTCATTCCCCACTAGCCAAAGCCTGAGTGCTAAGAACTAAAGGTGATTATGATTAGTGGGATTATGGCTACTTTTTTCTTTTCCTATTGAACATTTTCTGTATCATTATTATATTATTATTAAAAAGAATATATATTTTAAAGCACTGCCATTCCAGTCTTTATGGAAAGGTTCAGATATAAAAATCCTTCCTAGATGCAACCAGAAAAAGTAACACAGAAAAAAAGGTGATTATAAGGAACCTTACAATGTTTGGTTCTCCTCTCAAATTCACCCATAAACATCTTCCAGAGAAAAGACTATAAATCTAATTAAGTGGTTGAAGATATTTTCTTTCTTTATTTTTCTTTAATATTTGATACATCAAGAACTCTGGAGCCATTTTACTCTAAAATGTCATTTGAGTAAATCAAAAAGCCTCCCTAAATAATCCATCTGAGGGGATGTTGAATCATCTGGTTCATTTGGCTCATGGAAAACTGACCTCCTGAATTCCCTTCTGGTAGGAGCTCTATGGAAGGTCCTATCTATTAAACCCTGACAGTGGTGTAGTCAGTCTTCAGCAAATGCCTGTCTCTTCCTTGTAGGTGGCAGGGAAGGCACTGAGATCAGCACAGAGTAAGTACTGCTCACATGCCAGATCCTCTCCCTTCCCAAGGAGGCCAAAGCCTGAGCGGGAAACTTTTAAATAAGTGACCTGTCTGGCTTATTGATCACTATGTCCTCAGTACCCTGCACTTAGTAAGGACTGAGGAAATAGTTACTGAATGAATGTTCTTGTTCTGCTGTGTCGGTAGTCATTCTGAGCATATGATATCCAGCTTTTCCTTGGCCACTGGCATGTCTAGTGTCTGTGATCTCAAGACTTCTGATTTGAACCTCTAGACCTGGACTGTCCGGTAGGATAGCCACCAACCACATGTGGCTATTTACATTTAAATTTAATTAAAATTACATAAAATTTAAAATTCAGCCCTTAGTTGCACTAGCCACATCTCAAGTGATCAGTAGCCACATGTGGCTAGGAGCTACCATATTGAATAGTGCAGGCATGGAGCATTGCCATCATGGCAGAAAGTTCCACTGGACACAGCACTACTCTGTGTCTTCCTGAGCGCCAGCTGATGGATTTCCTCTTTGTGTTTGCAGTGCAGCTGTCTGCTTCAGGAAGTGAGGTCTACAGCAACGAGGAGAATCTTCAAGAGCTGCCTCGCAGTGTGACATGTCTGAGCCCTTACTCCAGTCCCTGCAGCATGAACAAGGTAAGAGATACTTTGGGGAGTCAGCCTTTGTGTCTTCTTTATGGGACCATGATTTTTCTGGGTACATAATGCCTTTCCACAGTGTGAGGAGGTTGCTTCTCCTGCCACAAGCATTCCAGAGGTTGGAGAGCTGTGTTACCCCAGCGAGTAGTGTTTATAGGCAGGGTCCCAAGAGGTGGGGGCCACGCTGTGGTTGTAATAATCTTCCAGATGTGTCACTGTGTTTGTCAGAGGCTTCTGAGTGGCTGAAATACTGGTTGTTAATATAACTGCCTTGGCATAAATATTGGAAGATTGAGTCTCTGGAGCCAGACTACCTGGGTTTAAATATCAGCTCTTCCGTATGCTAGCTTTGATGACCTTGGGCAAGTGGCTTAACTTTTCTGTGCCTCAGTTTCCTCATCTGTAAAATGCTGATGATAACAGTACTTGCCTCACAGGGTTGTTAAAAGGATGAACATGAGAGAATATGTGCACCAGTGTTTAATATAGTACCTATCTATATTACAAGTATTTGATAAATATTTGCTGTTGTTTTTGATGTTGGGGACACTGTTGTCCCTTAGAAGTTGTTGCAGGAGAACCTTAGGTGCATCTGCAACATTTCCATTTATTCCTTGATTGACTCAGCAAGTAGCAATTGATTACCAGATGGGCACTCAAGGATGAACAATGAATGAGGCTTAGGTTTTGTCTGCAGCAGGTGACAGGCTTAGGGATAGTGTGGCTAGTGTTTTAATGAGATATGTACCAGAAACTCTGGAAGCACAGAAGCAACAGCCAACTTTGGGAGATATGGAAAGGACTTTAGAGGAGGTGACATTTTGAGTCAGATCCTGAATGATAAATGGTCATTTCTTAGACACAGAAGTAGGGCAGGGCATTCCAGGTAAAGGAAACAGGCTATGTTTAGGCACAAAGCATATGAGAAAGTCTGGCATGTTTAGAGAACAAAGAACTTGGTACAGCAGGATATCTCAACACTGTTAACAATTTGAGCTGAATAATTCTTTGTAGTGAGAGGCTGTCTTCCACACTGAAGGATGTTCAATAGCATCCCCTTTCCCGCACTTCAGTCCTGACAACCAAAAACTTTCTCCCACATTGGCCAGTGTCCCTTAGGGGAACAAAAATACCCCCTGCTGAGAACCACTGCACTGGGGGAAGGTGGTAGATATGAGCCCAGAGAACGAGGTAAGGGTCCAATTCTGAGAGCCACTGAAGGATCTAATACAAGGGAGAGACATTTCCAGAGGCCTACAAGAAGAGGTAAATTATCACATTAGCCATGGGTTGTGGTGAAGTTAGCGCTTTGAGACAGTGTGGTCTTCAAAAAGTATTATGGAATCCCTTTAAATGGGCTTTAAGAAAACCCATTTAGTTTGTTGAGAGTCTTTTACTAAGAACCCCTTCCCAGTGATGATTTTTCTGATGGCCATTTGTCTGGCCTTCTCGGGGTGTCTGCTTTACCCCCACTGGAAGAGACCAGAAAATAATAAGCAATTGTTTCTGAGAGATTTTCATTTGGCCAAGAGAAGGAGACCTTGTTCTGACCACCCCCCCCACCACCACCACCACCACCACTGGCTTAAATACTTAGCTTTAAGCAATCTTTGAGAGTCTTTGTGAGTTTCTGGAATACTGGAAAAGTACGGAGGTATTCCACCCCAAGGTCATGACTGGAGGGTGGGGAAGAGAGGAGTTGCCTCGCTGTGGTCATTGCAAACCTTGGCATCTGTTAGTTAGAGTTTGGTGTCCTGAAACTCGAAGACAACTCTTGGGAAATCTGATTGGCAGGCACAGTTTGCTATGACAACCCAGCCCGAAGTTTCTCCAGGGCAACTGAAGACCTGATGTCAGGGTTTGGCTCTTGATAACGCAGCTGGGAACCAGACTCCGCAGACATTTCAAGTGTTTCAGTAGGTGTGTCTGTTGCTTGGGAAGGTGTGTTTTGCTTACGTGGCCCAATGAGTGCTTTATTTTATGTTATTTTAATTTAAAGTAGTGATTAAGCATGATGTGTAACCTTCATAGGTCAGCATTTTTCTTATGGTTTTCTTGGCATAAGACAAAGAATAGATCACCCTCTGGGGAGGAAATAGATCTCGGCGTAAATAAAACCAGACAATCATCTCATCAATTAGGACACGTAAGTTAGAATGTTGGAAATATTTTTGTGGGTGTGATTGATTTTCTAAGTAGATTTGTTCCTAGAAAGTTGGAGACTTTTGAATTGTGCGCTTTCCACTTCCTTGGACATATGCTGTCATAACTCTCCTTCCTTCCCAAACCCCAGCTCGCTTATGGGACACTTTAACTGGGGAGGTGTCAAGATGCAGGGTGGCACAGTATTCTGGGGTCCGGTGTGATTCCTGTGAAGCAGTGGGGCGATTCTGATTGCTGTGAGGCACTGACATCTCTCTTTGGGGTTATTTAGAGATGACATCTCTGGAAAACAACCGGAAGGACCCCCATGGCACAAGGGATTGACCGTTTGACCAATTTAACCAGGCTAACCTGATAGTCAGTGAACTGCTGTCCACCAAGTAGGGGCTTCATTCCTCATATTCTTGAACCTCTATCTGTGGCAGAGTTTGGGGTCACACCAGGAAGGGGTGCAGTTCCGGGCCTCACACAGCTAGCACACTGGTGCATTTGTATATAAATAAGATCTCTACAGAGCGGATATCCTCACGTTTATTCACCTTTTTAGTATTATAAACAGGCTTGAATGGTTTTCATTTGGGGCTTTATGTTCTAGCCTTGCATGTTAAAGAGATTGTGGGTGCACGGGTTTCCCCAGGGTTCTCCTTCTCCCTGGCTCTCGTGCACACTTGGAGACCCATCTTTGCAGTTTCCATACTCTCCTTAGATCTTTTTGCAGGCGCTGACTTTCCGATCTTTATGTTGATCCAAAACTTTATAATCAGGATTTAACTTTAAATTTATCAAAAGTTTTTGTCCTCTCTACTTTCTCAGGCATTCTCTTTTTTTTTTTTTTTAAGATTTTATTTATTTGACACAGAGAGACATAGCAAGAGAGGGAACACAAGCAGGGGGAGTGGGAGAGGGAGAAGCAGGCTTCCCCCCGAGGAGGGAGCCCGATGCGGGGCTCGATCCCAGGATCCTGGGATCATGACCTGAGCCGAAGGCAGACACTTAACGACTGAGCCACCCAGGCGCCCCTCAGGCATTCTCTTGTTAATATGTATAAAGATAGATTATATGACACAAATTATTGCTAGTAAGAAGGGTTCATGTTTTATATCTGTGTTACTTATCTATTATCATGCTGTAAAGAAAGGATTTTAGTGTGTTACTTAAAAATCATAGCCAAATTGGAGGCACATTGGACAGGATGGGATTTTGTAGAGGCCAGGTGGGCAGGAGGATGTGTATTCGGTACACACCACCTTGTAAGTTCACAGAGCCACACTCACAGGAACGGTGTTCCGCTCTTGAAAGCACCCTCTTCCTAGCAGCAGCCTTGGAATTATGATCTTAAACTCTTTCCCTTGTGGTCATCATTTTCATGAAGGCATATCACATGCTGTTGTCCGCCTTGAATTTATGAGGACACTCCATCTGATGGAAAAATCCTCGATGTTTCCATTATTATATAGAATGCTCCCCTCCCCCACACAGTGAAAAGGAACCTTCTTGAGAATTGTTTCTTCCTTCTTATGTTCAAATAAAGCCAGATCTGATCGCTGTTGCTCTGGACAAATGCCATAGCATCAAATGAAGTAGAGCTGTTCCTCTTATCTCTCTTGGTGGGTGGATGCTACTGTTTTGCTTAATATCTACCCAGCAGAACTTTTTCTCTGAATATTTTACTGTGCCAGGTTTGAGGCAGTTGCACCTTTACACTCAGATCAATATCTTTATAGTCAACTAAAGAGTAAAACTGAAATTTAGTTTCTGCCTTCATTTAGAGTTTTTCTTACTTGGCACCTCCTTAATATGAAGCAGTGAAGTTCAGAACTCATTACCCCCGGCTCTCCACCTGGCATACACATGACTCTACTTGATTAAACATCAGCTTCTCCAACACACGCTTACCAAGTGCGTACTGTGTACCACACACTGCGCTTGTAGGACATCAGTGAACAAAATAAAGGTCTTTGTCATCCAGAGCTTCTGTTTTGGCCAAGGTAAGGAGAGTCATCTTATTTCAGAGGTTTACCATTTAAACATACACCTAACATTAAAACTTTTGCCATTTTAAATTTCTTTCACTTGAAGAGCAAGTTGAGAGAGCTACTGGATGCAATGTAGGGAATCGGTGAATAATAAACATAGATCTCTCTCTTCCCCTCTCTAGGACACTCTTGAAGGTTTCACCAAATGACTCATCTATATTCAAGGAGTCTCCACTCTCGTTTTTCTGCAGGCAGTGGCCTAGTCCCCCTTGTGACAGACTTGGAAGAAATATTGCACACATCAAAAACTAGTGACATGGAAGAAAATGCAAATAAAAATTAAATGATCTTGGAATAAGGAAGGCCTTATTAATTTCTAGTGGCAGAAATGATAAAGGAAGAGAATGTATTTGACTATAACCTCAAAATTTCTTTCCACCAAAAGGTGGTCTGAACTACTCTAAAGACAAAAGACACACCAGGGCAGTATTTCCAACATGTACGACAGAGAGTTAACTTAGCTAATTTAGTAAGAATTCTTACAAATTAATAAGATAAAGATGATCACTCTAATAGAAAAGGGGCAAAGAACAGAAAGATAAAACCAATAAATGAAGAAATATAATCAGTAAATGACAAATAAGAAAATGTTCAACCTCAGCAGTTATCAAAGAAATGCAAATTAAAACAGTGAGGTGGCATTTTCTACCTATACTATTGATGAGGATTTGTAAAATGTACTCGGCGAAGGTAGGAAAGAGACTATCAGGATCTCTCAGACACAGTGGAAGAACACATTTCTCAAGGGAATTTAAACAATGTGTATCAAAGCTTCAAAAATACACACATCTTTTGACT